GCTGTGCCAGGGGAGGGTCAGGTTGGCCATGAGGAGGAATTTCCCCCTGGAAAGGGTGTTCAGGCCTTGGCAGGGGCTGCCCAGGGAGGTTTGGAGTGCCCAGCCCTGGAGGTGCCCAGGGCAGGACTGGCCGTGGTGGGGATGCCAAGTGCAGAGTGCCAAGGTGGGGATGGGGCACAGGGTGGACTGGGTGGGCTGGGAGGGCTTTCCCAACCTCGGGGGTCGTGTGGCTGCACCCCAGCTGTGTCCCAGTGCCCTCCCTGTCTGTGCCAGGCTCTCAGGGTGTCCATGGAGGAGCAGAGGCAGCGGCAGGAGGAGGAGGCCCGAAGGGCTGCGGCCGCCTCGGCCGCCGAGGCCGGGATTGCGGCCACCGCCGGGGATGGTGAGGACTGAGGGGGTTTGGGGGGCAGGAAGGCGGGTTTGGGTCGGGGACTGGGGGTAAATCCTGCCCTGGGAGGGTGGACTGAGGGGGTTTGGGGGGCAGGAAGGCGGGTTTGGGTCGGGGACTGGGGGTAAATCCTGCCCTGGGAGGGTGGGGAGGCTCTGGAAGGGCTCCAGTGCTGACCCTGGTGGGGCTGTGCCCCCAGAGTCGGGTCATGCCCTGCTTGAGACGACTCTCACCCAGCAGGAGTTGGGCTGGGCCCTGGCAGTGCCCCCTGTGGGGTCTGTGGGTCCTCATGGGGTGTGTGGGTCCCTGTGGCGCCTGTGGGTCCCTGGCAGTGCCCCCAGTGGGGTCTGTGGGTCCCTGGCAGTGCCCCCAGTGGGGTCTGTGGGTCCCTGGCAGTGCCCCCTGTGGGGTCTGTGGGTGTCTGTGGGTCCCTGGCAGTGCCCCCAGTGGGTCTGTGGGTCCCTGGCAGTGCCCCCAGTGGGGTCTGTGGATCCCCGTGGGGTCAGTGTGTGCCCGGCAGTGCCCACACCGTGTCTGTGCCCGCAGAGTCGGACGATGCCCTGCTCAAGATGACCATCACCCAGCAGGAGTTTGGCCGGGCCCTGGCAGTGCCCCCAGTGGGGTCTGTGGGGGTCTGTGGGTCCCCAGCAGTGCCCACACCGTGTCTGTGCCCGCAGAGTCGGACGATGCCCTGCTCAAGATGACCATCACCCAGCAGGAGTTCGGCCGGGCGGGGCTGCCCGACCTCAGCTCCATGACGGAGGAGGAGCAGATCGCCTACGCCATGCAGATGTCCCTGCAGGGGGCTGGTGAGGCCATTCCCGAGGGGAAAACCCCGGGAGAACCCCCGGGAACGTGTCCCACTGCGGGGTTGGGCCCTGGGGAGGTGGGAATCTGGGAATCCTTCCTGAGCTGCTGCTTCTCCCATCCCAGAGTTTGCCCAGGCCGAG